ATTTAATACTGTGCAGAGATCAGTTGCAAACATGGATGCCTGGCACGAAGCCCTCGCTACCCGGAAAATGGTATCACGGAAACGCCGAAGTGAACCAGCGATCGCGCTTCTCGTGGGACCAGAAGACCAGGACCACCGTTCCAGGGCCAGCAGACCAGGACCACTGTTCCAGGCTCAGCCAAGAACGCCATTCCAGAATAAGCCACCCGAGAAAGTGTCAACAGGCAAAAAAGGGTGTCAACGAGGTGTGACGCTAAAGTAGTGGTTCTCAACCTTTCTAATGCCGCGACCCTTTAATCCACGTCCCGTGTTGTGGCGAACCCCAACCACAAAAATGTTTTGCTTGATACTTTACAATCGTAGGGTATATGTGTTTTCAGATGGTCTTAGGCCACCCCTGGGGAAAGGGTCGTGCGATCCCCAAAGGGGTCGCGACACACAGGTGGAGAACCACGGAGCTAAAGACTCAAAAATAACATTAAACGGTGGCATTAAACATCCTTGGATTAATAATGAATCAAAATTTATTAAATAGAATTGGACCAAAGCCAATCTAGGAGGGTAAAATGGAAGTAAGTAAGAGTAATATTGGGGGACGTCGGTCCTAAGTTTAACAAGTTTTTCACATCATTTCCTTACATATTTTTTTGCACATACGTAAATGTATGTGACCTATGCTTTGTGTGATGGTTGCAACTGATTTTTCGTATGGGTATGGCTTTTTTCACTCTTGGTGCATGTAAAACCTAATACAGGAAAGGTGTTGGTTTTTTTTTTGGGGGGGGGGGATTTTAAAGAATTTTTTCGTGTTTCAAGAAAGTAAGGAACATTGTTTATATTCTGTCTTTTTTGTTAGTCATTTCATATTGAGATAAGACAGAAGGTTTGCGCAGGTCGTTCCTACTCCGCCAACATACCCAAACCTGTTTACCCTCAAACTCTTAAAGTCGTACAATATCATGACAAAATCGTTTAATACATGATCTTAATAGTAAAAAATAAACATACAGCATATATAATGTATACGCCTCAAAATCGTACATTGTACACCAAAGTCGTAAGAGTTAACAGGTGTGCATACCCTTTTACATCAAAAATACAAATCACAGAGCAACAGCTACACAACTAATCTCCCCACCAAAACACGCACCCATAGAACAAAATATAAACATTCTCCCCCCCCCCCCCCCATTAAAAAAAAAAAAAAATAAACATTCCCCCCCCCCCCCAATTGAAAAATGAGAAAAACTTATTTTTGGACATGGGTTTTTTTTTGTTGGGTGGGGCTGTAAATGTTGATATATTATGTTTGCGTCTGCATCACGTCAGTGTGCCAAATTTCAGCTCGATAGTTAGACGGGAAATGGGTCATTCAGCCGTCCGAAGATTTTGCTAGCCGGCCACCCAAACAGCCATCCACAGACGAAAGCAAAGTATATATATAAAAGGTTTAAATTTTAAGAATTTTTTTTCTACGCCACTTATTTTATGAAGATATCTCAATAAACAAAACAAGTTGATCGATGTTCAAATTTGGTAAAAATCGATCACAAGCACCAGTCGGCAACCTTTCGGACAACACGGACCACTAAATTTATTATTTTAAATCTTGTGGACCACTAATGTCATTTTGGTTAAAAGATGTAAATATTTCTAAAAATAACGAACTTATGAAATTCGCCTAGTTATTTTTTTTTTTTTTTTAAATATAAATTCTTGTTTAATCATTACATAATATTTATAGGTTGTTTAACTGTTATGTTAAACATGAGATCTAACTGAAATTAACTATACTCAGCAGACATGTGAGTTTCACCTGATAAAACTTTTTTATTCCAAGATATAGGGCACTTATTTCATGAAGATATATCAATAAACAAAACAAGATGATCGATGTTCAAATTGGGTAAAAATCGATCACAAATTATATTGTTAAATTTGTTTTTCTTTTTTTTTTTCTTTTTTTTTTTAGTTTTGAAAAACGGCATTTAAATTTGTTAAAAATCGATAAAAAATTATATTGTTAAATTTGTTTTTCTTTTTTTTTTTCTTTTTTTTTTTTAGTTTTGAAAAACGGCCATTTTTGTGGATTTATACTTTCTAAAATAATTAAAAGAGGAGTCCAGTTATTGGTGTATTTGCTCCAAAATCTATAATACTTCAGCCCAATTTTTGTTTAAAGCAGCTAGAACCATTCATTCCAGAGGCGTAGCGAGGTGGGGGCAGGGGGAGGGGGACAGATGTCCCCGGGCGCCGCTAGTTGGGGCGCCAAAATGAGCTTTGATATTATTTGATTGATGAAAATAATGGGTTTGAGAGTTGAAAAAAAGAAAAAGGGGCGCTAAAAATAGATCTTGTCCCCCGGGTGCCAAACACCCTCGCTACGCCACTGATTCATTCATAAGTTGTAAAAAAATGTATACAAAAGAAACTAGCATGCTTTTTAGTCCTTTTTATTTTCTGACCGAAAAAGTGTAAAAATACACTAAATTGCTATCTACAATCTTTCCTTCAAATCGATCTATTATCCCCCATATTGCGGTGTCTTGGATATCCTTTCTTTAGTTTATAATGACCGAAAGATTATGTCAGTGATTTCCAAGAGCTGTTGAACAATGGTTCTTCTCTTATTGCCCTGTCTTTCTTTTCAAGCCTCCGCCTAGCCCTTTCCACTATTTCCTTCACACACAGCATGGTACACTCGTTTATTTACTATCCCTATTCACGTGAACGGTCTTATATTTGTATTACTTGGTGTCCGTAACTATAGATCTAGTGGTGAGGTCCACAATGGTGGACCAGAAGAAATAGCGACACAATTTTACTTTCATTTTTTTTCTTTTATTCCAACGGACCTCTTGGGCAAATCAGTTTAACTCTTTCAATTTCTAGTTTTCATCAAAGTATAAAAATCAAACTGAAAGATTCGTCAAACAGCGTTTACAGTTGCTAGCCATGCAGGTTGTTTCCATTTAAAAAAAAAAACAACAACAAAAAAACAGATTTTGAAACTGAATTCCCGATTCCAGGAAACCGCAAGTGCTTGGAATCACCGATAACGCCTGTAGACAACGTTGTAGTCGTTCTATTTATAGCGATAACCTCAGCACATTATTTTGTAACCCAAAAAAAAAATAAGTTCGTGTGTAAGTTTCGATCGCTTTACACATGCAGCTACGCTGTTCTGGTTAGTTCTGATATATGCCTACTGTAAAAGAAGCCCAGTGTAAGACCTCCATTTTAGACGACACGGCAATTTTTTTTTTTAAACACGATAAACTAAGAGGTAAGCTTAATTCATAAAGTAACCAAATTATCAGAACATACGTTAAGATATTATAATTTATTTATTTTTTGTTTGGGGGATAATTGGGGGGGGGTACTGAAAGTTTGACAGTTGTTGACAAAGGGGGGTAGGGGATCGAAAATTGCCTAAAAATTGTTGAATTAATTAATGGACGGTCCCTAAATGCGTTATTTATTTATTTTTCTAAATTAAATTTTACTCGTTTTTACAACGAATTGTCTGTCCGGACTGTCTTGATTTACGGCTTCAACCGTCTCTTGGTGTTGATGCTCTTAACACCCGGTTTAAACACTGAGCCAGATGATGTCAACCCAGGGCGTGTGTTTAGTCGCGACCATTCTCTCGTTTAAGTTTTATAATTGTAAGTCAATTTCTGGAGATAAAAACACTTATAAACTGCGCTAGATATTTGCCAGGCGAGCATTTTAAAAAAATTACCTATGGGTTAAAATACTTGTTACTCTGTGTAAGTGGTGTAGCACAGTGGATTATCTAATACATTCAGAGGCGTAGCCGGGTTTTGCAATGGTATGAGTCGGGGGATGAGTGTTTAACGCGTCGAGTATACATCTAGTTGTGCACAAGGATTAATGGGTGGGTTGGAGGGGGTGGTTGTCAAGGGTTTGAAAATCACTGTTCTTATTATGAACGGTTGCTAGTGACACACTGTTAGAGATATCATTAGACCACGTTGAATGGAATACCGGATGGGTTCTCAAACAGAGAAGCAAGGTATCTCTTCAGGAGTTACATTGAGTAAGAGAACCAGAAAACTGCAAGTTTCTTTAATAGTGAAACCTAGAATTAGGTCTCACAATAATACCATCTAGAAGTAGATCTAACAAAAGTAACTTCTAGAAAATAGATCTAACAATATTAACAGCTGGAATTAGGTCTAACATCTTGATCCTAGAAGCATATCTTGACACCTGGGCATGAACAACAAAGACATTTAGTTTTAGATGTAGAACTAAAACTTAAAATTTGATTATCAGCATTACAGTTGAGATCCAACAAGGGCGGTGTGCTTCTACTGAACATTGTTAACTTACTTAACATTGACCTACCGCTAAATAGAACGTTGTATTGCCCCCCCCCCCCCCCCCCCCCCCCCCCCCCCCCCCCCCAAAAAAAAACGTTTTTTTGCCCCCCCCCCCCCCCCCACGGAGCCTCCGCCCTACAAACAGGGATTAAACTGCTGTAGACATAGAAGATAAGCACTTACAGAACAAGAAATACCGTCTGCCAGATTTAGAATGGCAATGACGTCAGATAAGGGGTCGGAGGAAAAAACACATATTTTTTTTACCACGCCTTTGAGCCCCCCTCGATGTAAAAAGGAGAACGTCTTAGATCATTAAATTCAAAATAGGTTTATTGAATCTATTTATACGGGAAATTCAATTATAAATATTTAAAAAATGTATAATGAATTAATGTAATTTTTATTCTGGAACAAACAAATATTTGAAAATGTGCTTCACTAACCCCAACCCAGGTTTTGGAGACGTAATGTTTTGATTTCTTTTTAGATATGAAATAACGTAAACAAGTATGGTTTTCTTTCATAGTATGGCAGTGTGGATAATATACTAAAGGCTCAATTGATTTACGTGCCAGTAAGTCCAATACAGAGAAAAGTCCTTGTCCTCAAACGAAGGTTGTTGCAAAAAAAAGTAGCGATTTTGGGGACTAGTTTTTCTTATGCAAGGTTAAACCCCATTGCCGCTCATGACATATTGGAGCAAAAGGTAAAACAATATTCTCCTACGCCGAAACGTGCTGCTGTAGACGTCATTTTGTCGTGCAACTGGTAACCTCAACATGGTGTGTGCTTACCCATGTACACTGAGCATAAACAGTGTGGCTAGGGGGGGGGAGTGATTTTTGTATCATTTTATTTATGCCCTCATTACCCCTCTTTTTTTATGCCCTCACTTATTAATAACCTCATTATCTCCACTTATGTATACCCTCATTAACCCATTTATTTATGTCATAATTACGTCCATTTATTTATGCCCTCATTACCTACATTTATGTATACCCTCATTACGTCCATTTATTTATGCCCTCATTACCTCCATTTATTTACGCCTTCATTAACCCATTTATTTATGCCATAATTACGTCCATTTATTTATGCCCTCATTACCTCCATTTATGTATACCCTCATTACGTCCATTTATTTATGCCCTCATTACCTCCATTTATTTATGCCCTCATTAACCCCATTTATTTATGCCCTCATAATCCTTCCTTTATTTTTTCCCTCCCAACCCCTATTTATTTATCCCCCAATTACACCTATTTCTTTATGCCCCCCTTACCCCTATTTATGAATGCCCCTATTACCTCCATTTATGTCTGCCCCCATCATCCATATCAATTTATGCCCTCATTACCCATATTTATTCATGCCCCAATTACACCCTTTATGTATGCCTCCATTACCCATAAGCATTTATGCCCTCATTACCTCCATTTATTTATGCCCTCATTAACAAAATTTATTTATGTCCTTATTACCCGCAAGATTTTCATTTGTTACCTAACTTGGTGTAGTTTACTCCCGACGTGTCGGCCGACCCAGTGCGTTAGATGGAGATATTCCTTGGTGTATGTATCCAAACATTTTTGAAACCCTTGATGCTCTTTCGGGACTTTGAAATTTTTTATAGTATTGTCTATTAGTTTGCCCCAAATGCTAAGCTATGCTTTTCGCCACCATCTTAATTTACTCCCTGCTTTCTTTTATGAATCACCCCCCCCCTTTTTTTTTTAACCCAACTCTAAAACTTTTGGCCAATATTTAATTCGTATATACTTCACCGACACAAACATTGAAATGCGCCTCGATCAAGCAGTGGTATATACTTCACCGACACAAACATTGAAATGCGCCTCGATCAAGCAGTGATATTTTAATCTTCTTTACAAGGTACGCTGTTTTGGTTTCCTCAAAATTCAGTCTTTCGTGGATGATCTCAAGAGATGGCTGGATCAGGCGATGAAATGAGATTCATTGAGTTTCAAGACTTGGAGAGATACAAACAAGAACGGAGATGCATGCATTGTAAGATAAGGACATTTGATGATATGGTCACCTGCACAAAGTGTCTAGAGTTTTGGTGAGTACATAGAGAGATTTGAGAGATGGGATAGATGTGAGACATGTTAGAGATGTGAGAGATTTGAGAGATGTGAGAGATGGGAGAGATGTTAGAGAAGTGAGTTTGATTTCAACAATCAAATTTTTTAATGAACAAATATGGCATAACCGTTCACAAACCCTTACCCGTTTTATTCTTTAAGGGGGCCGAGCGAGTCGCTCTTTATGGCCCACGGCTATTCGCACAACGGTGTACCTTATCTGAAGGGCACTGCTTAACATGACGTTCGCCCTCCCCCACCCCCTGAGTTCGACATTCCATCCCTTTGCCAAGCCTACGGATAGATGCGTTCCATCCGTATTTGATTTAGCGTAACAGGGCATTTTAATTGGAAAACCCAACTTCCGATAAGAACAACAATGGCGAACACCTATGTTTTTAACCGTTTCTTGTTGTTTCTTCACGTGTCATGTCTGCCGAGGAAGGCTCTATGCCAAAACGTGCTTCTTTAAATGTCCTGTCTATATATTTCAAGCTTCCATATACCTCGATCCACGATTTCTTTCACGTTTTAAAATAAATTTTGCATACATATTTTATTTATTTTTTTTGGTGTCCAGCTACTGTTCTATAGAATGCTTAGAAAATGACAGTAAAGGTCATGCCACTGAATGTAACATAATTGGGTTAAGGAAGGGACGACGCCGCATTGTGGACATCAACATGCTCGAATACGTCAAACAGAAAGCCAAGCTTTTGGACGAAGACGGGGACCCGATTGACGTTAAAAGCCACCCTAAGGCTAACCCTAAGCCTGTCGATGAAATCAAAGACCCCAAGGCCAAGGATCAACAAAATGAGAATGTACCTGCTTACAAGCCAGGGCCGAAGAACAAAAAGAACAAAAGGAAAAACAAAAGCAAAAGGCGAAAGGCCCCCAACCCCGTAAAGCCCAGTTCCCAAACACCGGACCTGTCCTCGACCATTGTCCGGGGCAGGTTTGGCGGTCGAGTTAAAGTGGACGACAATGTCAGGTCAGGGGCGAGATTTGGTGAGGGGTGGTGGACATCAGGACGACCAAGCAGCAGCGGTGGAGGTGCAACGGGTCACGCGACAGAGAAGACGATTTATGCCAAGAAACCAACGAAGACTAGTTTCCCGGAGTACGACTCCGATACGGACTCCGATGATGGGTTGAAATTATGTGCCATGGCCACAGTTGAAGGTTTGTGAAGATTTTAATTAATTATAGGCTATCAAAGTATAAAGTATGGTAACGGAAATCAGATTTATTTTTAAAGATGAACTTTCATTATAGACTGAGTGTTGTTTTTTTTTATAGTTTAAAAAATGACTTAAAGTTAATTTTTTTTTAAATACCAAATTGAAATATAAAATAACAGAATGAGCTTAGACTGGTTTTTTCTTGAAAAATATACATTCCAACAGAATTTTCAACAGGCAATTTCCATTTCTTACATACTACGAACCTTTTATGTATGGTTAATTATGCTATCTTATGCAGGCAGCTTCTATCTGAGCAGATATTTTGTCATTTCAGACGCAACAGCCAAATCTTCTTTCTGCGATAGCGGGCCGACTGGCAGCGTAGATGCCACACCCAAAGAAGCAGATGGCAAAGTCAAGGTCGGTCCAGCTTCAAGCGCCAATCAGACGTGGAGTGGGATGAATGCCGCATCACCTTCTGGATCCAGTGACGCAACTCGCCATGTCCGGGCATTCTCAGCGGCTAGCTCCTGTGAAGCCTCAGGCAAGGTCAAAGAAAGGTCACCTACTTGTTCTAGTGAGCCGGCGAGCAAGGTCAACGAAAGGTCAGCTGCTAGCTCTAGGGAGCCGGCTAGCAAGGTCAGGGAAAGTTCACCTACAAGCTCTGGTGAGCCGGCTAGCGTGTTAAAGGAAAGGTCAGCCCCTTGCACGAACGGCGCTTCAAACACCTACAAGGTCACTTCTGCCACACTTAATTCATACGACAACGAATATCAGCCAACGGGCGATGAGCTTGTGCCGTACGACCAGAAGAAAGCGGAAGAAGCTATGAGCGCCGCTGGTAGGAGAGATTCCGGGAAATCCCCAGTCTTAGAAAAATGTCTTTTCTGTGGCAAGGAGAGCTACAGCATGCTGAAATGCTCACGGTGTTTTACGGGAAGGTATTGTGGCAAAATATGTCAGAAGCAAGACTTTCCTAGACACAAAGAAAGTTGCAGTAAGTTATCGTTTATACCATTGGTGGGGGTGTGTGTGGGTTGGGGGGGGGGGATTACTAGTACTATGGCATTATGCGCAGGGTCGGTGACAATCTTCATTGGGCTGTTTCAAACTTGATTTTCTTCTGTGTTTGGGACAATTTTTCAATAAGGTATAAGCATCCTCAGAGATGTGGACCAAAATTACGGAGGCATGTTTTAACCTTTGAGATCGAATGGCTTTTAAATGTAAAATTTCATCACGTGATATGGTGTGAAAAGGGTGGGGAGGGGGATTACTTGCCCGGGTGCCCGACCGAATCAGATAGACCTACGATTGGGAGGCTTAAGTTAGTTAACAATTAGCCAAAGTTATACCTATGACTGGAAGTCTTGAGTTAGTTAAGTAAGATCACGCGTGACGTCTCAACTCCTGTAAAAAGGTTGCATTTTTTGTCTTTGGGAGGATGCGACTATTAATAAGCGCAAGATTGAATTAGAGCAAGATTGAATAAGAACAAGACTGAATAACCACACAGTTGAATAAGTGCAAGATTATATAAGCGCAAAATTGATTAAACCCAAGATTTAAGAAGTTCAAAATTGAAAAAGCACAAGATTGAATAAGCGCAATATTGAATACGTGCAAGATTAAATACGTGCAAGATTGAATACGTGCAAGATTAAATACGTGCAAGATTCAATAAGGATAAAATTGAATAGTTGCAAGATTGAATAAGCGCACTATTGAATAAGTACACTATTGTCTAAGAGCAAGATTTAGCAAACCCAAGATTGATTAAACTCAAAATTTAATAAGCGCACGATTGAATAAGTGCAAGATTGAATAAGTGCAACATTAATTAAGCGCAAAATATAAAAAAGCAAGATTGTTTAAGCGCAACATTGATTACGAATAGCACTGCAACTGACGCAGAAATCAAAACTATATTAATGGGCCTGGAACAGGTGCGACGCAGATTAGCCAGACGTAAAACACTTCCATCCACCGTAGTAGTAATAATAATAATAATAATAATAATAATAATAACGTTTATTTGAAAAACACGCTTCATCCCCAAAAGCTCGAAGCGCGGTACAAAGTCAACCATATTAAAAAGAGAAATAAAACCATCTAAAATTTACCACATTTAAAAACAGACGCAACAGTAAAAAAACAAAAACATACGAGCATACCAAGTCAAAGTCTTTCACCCCATTTCATTCAACCATAAGCAACACAAGTCAATATACACTAACTGGAAAAAGATGGTAGATAGCATCACCCCAGAAGGTGTTTGCAAAACAGATGTGTTTTTAAATCGGTTTTAAAGGACTCCAGTGTCTGGCTGTTTCTGAGAGCGACTGGAAGAGCGTTCCAAATTGTTGGGCCGGCAAATGCAAAAGTGCGTTTTCCGTAAGTCTCAAGGCGAACACACGGTATCGATATTTTGCCACTATCGGATGAGTGGAGCTCTCTAGTGGGTACACAAGGCGTCATGAGTGCTTTGAGATAGGACGGCGCCAGGTCATGTAAGCAGCGGTAGCACAAAGTTACAATTTTGTACTCTATGCGAGCGCGGACCGGCAGCCAGTGCAGCTCTCTCAGAAGTGTTTTAGCATGGTCGAATTTGCGTTTGCGAAGAACAATGCGAGCCGCATTATTCTGTGCTCTTTGAAGTTTATCCAGGAGCGTAGCTGGGAGACCCACCATGAGAGCATTGCAATAGTCCATGCGTGATAACACAAATGCAGACATCAGCCTCTTTGATGCACCTAACGTTAAGAAAGGTCTGACATGATTAATCCTGCGCAGCGCTAGAAAAATACCGATTCACAATGTGCTCTCTAACACGGAAATGGCCAATGCAATTTTGGAGCCTCACGGAGGCAAAGTGACCCTTCAATGGATCCCGGGACACGCGACTATTAATAAGCGCGAGATTGAATGAGCGCAATATTAAATAAGCGTAAGAGTGAATAAGAGCAAGACTGAATAAGCGCACAGTTGAATAAGTGCAAGATTGTATAAGCGCAAGATTGAGTAAATCCAAGATTGAATAAACTATCATTGAATAAGCGCAAGTTTGAATAAATATAATTTAGTATTGTTTGGTATAGAATGAGTTTATTTCTTCTTCACTGCATTGAAAACTTATTGGTGCACAGTCTGTTTTTTAATTCTTTATATCAACTTCGCTTTTGTTCGTGTGTTGCTGGTTGGCGAAAACCCTCGGACGGCTAATTGTCCCACGTTCAGTGAACCTAACGAGCTGAGGCAAACGCCCCATACAACTGTTGGTGAAATAAATCTGCTGTGCAAAAGGGGGTGGGACATTAGAAGATTAATTTTAAAATGAATTCATTTAAAAAACTCGGATAAAGGATTTATTCCAAAAGCTTTGGGTTTTTTTTTAATGGGTTGTAAATAATTTAGATTTTCTCTTTACCAAGTTTTCCGAAATTTCAAAACAGCTGAGAAAAATAAAAATTAAATCCATTTTCTTCCATTTGTTTAATTAATTAAGACATGACGTAGGTTTTATTTTGAACATTTAACAAAAAAGGTGTATGCCCTGTACTCATTTTCAAGGGCGCGGTGGACGATTCTTGGTGGCCTTGGACAAAATCCCCGACCCTCTCGTGACAGCAGCTTTCTTGGGTCTGGGAATTCCACCCATTTCCGTCTTTCTGTCGGATTTGTGCGGGGCATTCGAATGTGAGTATTCAATTTATGTCTGTTATGTTATTGTGAGTATTCAATTTATGTCTCTCATATTATTGTGGGTATTCAATTTATGTCTTTCATATTATTGTGGGTATTCAATTTATGTCTCTCATATTATTGTGGGTATTCAATTTATGTCTCTCATATTATTGTGGGTATTGGTATCTGCGTGTATGTGTATTCAATTTATGTCTCTTATATTATTGTGAGTATTGGTATCTGCGTGTGTATGTGTATTCAATTTATGTCTCTTATATTATTGTGAGTATTGGTATTTGCGTGTGTATGTGTATTCAATTTATGTCTCTTATATTATTGTGAGTATTGGTATCTGCGTGTGTATGTGTATTCAATTTATGTCTCTTATATTATTGTGAGTATTGGTATCTGCGTGTGTATGTGTATTCAATTTATGTCTCTTATATTATTGTGAGTATTGGTATTTGCGTGTGTATGTGTATTCAATTTATGTCTCTTATATTATTGTGAGTATTGGTATCTGCGTGTGTATGTGTATTCAATTTATGTCTCTCATATTATTGTGGGTATTCAATTTATGTCTCTCATATTATTGTGGGTATTCAATTTATGTCTCTCATATTATTGTGGGTATTCAATTTATGTCTCTCATATTATTGTGGGTATTCAATTTATGTCTCTATTATTGTGGGTATTGGTATCTGCGTGTATGTGTATTCAATTTATGTCTCTTATATTATTGTGAGTATTGGTATCTGCGTGTGTATGTGTATTCAATTTATGTATCTTATATTATTGTGAGTATTGGTATCTGCGTGTGTATGTGTATTCAATTTATGTCTCTTATATTATTGTGGGTATTGGTATATGCGTGTGTATGTGTATTCAATTTATGTCTCTTATATTATTGTGGGTATTGGTATCTGCGTGTGTATGTGTATTCAATTTATGTCTCTTATATTATTGTGAGTATTGGTATCTGCGTGTATGTGTATTCAATTTATGTATCTTATATTATTGTGAGTATTGGTATCTGCGTGTGTATGTGTATTCAATTTATGTCTCTCATATTAATGTGGGTGTTGGTATCTGCGTGTGTATGTGTATTCAATTTATGTCTCTTATATTATTGTGAGTATTGGTATCTGCGTGTGTATGTGTATTCAATTTATGTCTCTTATATTATTGTGAGTATTGGTATCTGCGTGTGTATGTGTATTCAATTTATGTCTCTTATATTATTGTGAGTATTGGTATCTGCGTGTGTATGTGTATTCAATTTATGTCTCTTATATTATTGTGGGTGTTGGTATCTGCGTGTGTATGTGTATTCAATTTATGTCTCTTATATTATTGTGAGTATTGGTATCTGCGTGTGTATGTGTATTCAATTTATGTCTCTTATATTATTGTGAGTATTGGTATCTGCGTGTGTATGTGTTCTTCTGCGAGAGTGTGTGTGTGGTTTGTGTGCGAGTGTGTCGGTGTGTGTGTGTGTGTTAAGTGTGTGGGTGGCGTATATTTGATGTGGTTGTTGTATTTGGTTGGTTTGCTTATTTCCTCTTTTTTTTTAAAGTTATGTTGGTTACTAGCTAACAGACAACCCCCTGTGCAACCCGTTGTCGTAAACAGTGGCGTAGCGAGGGTGTTTGGCGCCCGGGGACAAGATTCGCGCCCGGGGACAAGATCCATTTTTAGCGCCCCTTTTTCTTTTTTTTTTCAACTCTCAAACCCATTATTTTCATCAATAAAATAATATAAAAGCACATTTTGGCGCCCCTAACTAGCTGGCGCCCGGGGACATCTGTCCCCACCACGCTACGCCTCTGGTCGTAAATGGCTCCAAGATTCATTTGATCAACCAAGGGATTCTAATAGTTTGAACAGTCAAACATCATTGTCTGATACTATGTCTGACGGACTTAAACAAAGGAACAATCTTTTTTTAACAACTGAGTGTCTATTATATTTTGTGTTATTTTGAAATGTCACTGAAGTAAATCGACTTTTTAAAAAAAAAAAAATTATAACCAAAAAAAAAAAAAAATTTTAACCCATTCTTCTAAAACTTTCATTTAAGTAATTTTTTAGAAATAATTCACTGCTCAGCCTCAGGCAAATTGATTATTTATTTTGAGGTTACAGTTAGTTTTCACGTGATTATCTCGCCCTTGTTTTAACGTCCTAGACTTGATGATTGGCCCAAGGCGCTCTCTCCTGCTGGAGATCGTGGACACGTCTGTTTTTGTGTTCCAGTACAGCGTTAGAGCCATGGTAAGCCAGAGAATTAGGGTTCATACTCTCTACCTCCTAGATCCAAATTCACAAATACTGTGATTTGTTGTTTTTTTTTTCCTTTTTTAAACTGACCTCTTGAACTGCTTGGGCTCATTGGAAAAACACGGGGAAAATAATGTCTAGATTCTAGATTACTCTATAGCTCTTAGTAATGACAATTTACTTCCCTTTTACATCTTCCACGTAGCTAAAAATAGGGTGTGAAAGTAACAAATAAGCGAGATAATCTTTACAAGTTGATATTTTTATTTACATTAAAAATTTTCCTAAAAGAATCACACCCGCGTTTCTTTGCTCCCATAATGTGGACAGAATGCACTCAGATTAGAACAATGGAGATGAGCGAAACAAAGTATTGAAAAACCTGGGGCCGGGGGGGGCGGGGGGGGGGGGGGGGGGGTGAACGCAACAAAACAACGAACGTGTCGGCAAGAAGCACTTCATTGCCGAACAAACAACACCAAAAGATAGAATCAAACAAAAATAACGCTTAACTGTAATGTAGCATGTGAGAGGACGGCAAGAGGAAGGGGACAGAACACAGGGCCTTCTGTTAGAGAACAGCTGATGTTCTCCCTCACTTAATTCTGTTCAGTCTTCCTCAACGATTAATTTTTTTTCATTTTCTTTTTCTTCAAAGTTTGTATTGCCATATCCATAGAGTTTTTTTCAATAGCGTACTCTCGGTCTATAGTCAGACTTGACCGAAAATATCAGTTGTTCATCTTATCTATTTCTTTTTTTTTTCTTTTTTTTTTTCTTGCCAGGACCGAGATGGGACGATGTGCCGAATCCTTTTCTATGAACCTTCCGGCATCTACTACCACGTCCCCAATGGCTTAAT